GGGGGGAAGGTCCCTGTGTGGTGACCCCCCCTCTCATGCCTCAGCTCTGCCTCCGCAGATGAACATGGACTCCAACGAGGTGCTGCCTCGCCACTTTGACGCGGCGGCAAAGTGGCCCGGGATGATCCACGAGCCCTTGGATCAGGGCAACTGCGCCGGTTCCTGGGCCTTCTCCACGGCAGGTGAGATGGGACAGGATGGGATGGGGTGGCTGAGGGGGACGGACGGGGACTAAACCCGCTGCCGTGGAGCTGGGGAGCGGAGCAGGACCCGGGGGAGCAGCCGCCGCTCCATGACCCCCTGCTCGCTTCCAGCCGTCGCCTCGGACCGCATCTCCATCCACTCCATGGGACACATGAAGCCCGCCCTGTCACCCCAAAACCTCCTGTCCTGCGACACCCGCAACCAGCGGGGCTGCAGCGGGGGCCGGCTGGACGGTGCCTGGTGGTACCTCCGCAGGCGAGGGTGAGTGGGGATGGGATGCGGGGGGCAGAGGCTGCCCCGGTGCTGGGGTGGGATAAGGGGGTTCAAGGCTCACCTGGGGAGAGCCCAGGGGTGCCCCGTGCACATCGGGTCCCCGGAGCTGTCCCTTGGGCAGGCGGGGACCGAGGGCTGCCAGCCCAGGTGGGGATGGAGAGTGGGGTTTGGGGATGGGGATGGGAGTGGGGATGGAGCTGGGTGGTCCTTCCCTTCCTCATGTCCTTGTCCCTTCTTTGCCCAGGGTGGTGACAGACGAGTGCTACCCCTTCACCAGCCAGGAGAGCCAGCCGGCGGCACAGCCCTGCATGATGCACAGCCGCTCCACGGGCAGGGGCAAGCGGCAGGCGACGGCACGCTGCCCCAACCCCCAGACCCACGCCAACGAGATCTACCAGTCCACCCCTGCCTACCGCCTCTCCTCCAGCGTGAGTGCCTGCGGGATGGGGCCGGGCAGAGCCGCCAGCGTGGGCGAAGCAGGAGCCGTTTGGTGTGGGGAGCGGGAAAGGGGCTTGGCTCGGGGTGGTTTCCCTAGGAAAGCCAAATTTGGAAATGAAGCTGGGAAAAACCCGCTGCGGAGCCCCCAGGGGAGCTGCTCCTCTATTCGGCATCTCCACAACACCCACCCGTGGGTGCCGAAAAGGTCTCTGCCTGCATCCCCAGGGGGTGGGGAGGGCAGTGCCGGGGGTCCCGGTCCCAGCCCCGGTCCCACCCAAGCTCTGTGCTTGCAGGAGAAGGAGATCATGAAGGAGCTGCTGGAGAATGGCCCCGTGCAAGGTAGGGAGCCGGCGTGGGCACCCCATTCTTGTGCCCTGAAGCCGGGTGCTGCAATGGCCGGGGGGAGGAGAGGGGGGGGGGGGGGTGTCCCTGCCTGGGGCCGGGGGCAATTGTGGGAGCCAGGCCCCCCCTCCTCGGCTGCTCTCCCTGATTAATGTTTAGCCACATGCCCGGGCAGCGCCGTGCTCTCGCTGGCCCCGGGGTGCCCATCACGCTGCCCACACCAGCAGGCACTTGTTGCTCATTAACTCCTGAGACTTAATCTCCATCTCAGCAGTTGGTTTTGTTTTACTTTTATTGTTTTTAATTCTCTGAGTCTTGTCACATCGCCCGTGTGATGTGACATCTGGCTGCCGCCTTCCCTCCTCCCGGGAGATGCCCTGTGTGTCCCCGGTGCCCGTATCCTCCACCCTGGGGGATGTGGAGCCCCGGGAGCTCGGCACCCTGTCCCTCGGGACAGGGTCAGCATCCCCAGACCCTCTTCCCCTGCCCGCAGCCATCCTGGAGGTGCACGAGGATTTCTTCATGTACAAGAGCGGGATCTATCGGCACACGCCGGTGGCTGAGGGGAAGGGGCCGAAGCACCAGAGACATGGGACCCACTCAGTCAAAATCACCGGGTAGGTGGGGGGTGGCATCGGGGGCTCAGAGGCATGCGGAGAGCCCTGCTGCAGGCAGGAGAAATTTTCTTTTCGGGGGAGGAAAGGTGTCCCCTTCCTCCGGGCAGGGAGAAGAAGCGGGGAGGGAAGGAGGGTACAGGGAGCGATGGCAGGGAGCCCTGCCAGGGGCTGATGCTCGCCCCAGGGTGGTGGCCACAAGTGACACGAGTGTGCGGTGCTCAGCCCCCTCAAAGGAGGGAGGTGGGAGTTGGGACTGGCTGCCCTGTGCCGGCAGCTTCCTTCCTCATCCCCATAGTTAAATATACCTGCCTGTATTTCGGGAGCGGACGTAAATACCTCAGCCTGGCCCTTGGGGAGGTGCCGAGGCCAGGAAATGAGTGGGGTCAACACAGCACCCTGCTATCGCAGTGCCCGGCGGGGTGATGCCGGCAGTATGGGCTGCAGCCCGAGGGGGTGCCCCCGGACCCCCGCTCACTGCCCTGCCCTTCCAACGCAGGTGGGGAGAAGAGCAGCTGCCTGATGGCCAGACCCAAAAATACTGGGTGAGTGTTGGTGGGTGTCACGAGTTTGTTGGGGCTCAGTCATTAGGGTGGGTGGCTGCAAGTGCTGCTTTCCCATGCCCAGGTGGGATTCAGCTCAGGGATTGGGGGGGTGGGGGGGTCAGCTGGGCCACCCAGTGCTGAGCCGTGTCCTGTGTCCCCTCCGCAGACTGCAGCCAACTCCTGGGGCACAGCGTGGGGCGAAGGTGGCTACTTTCGCATCGCCCGCGGCGTCAACGAGTGCGAAGTAGAGACCTTCGTGGTGGGCGTCTGGGGCCGCGTCAGCATGGAGGACATGCCCCACAAGTGAGCCCCCCGCTGCCCACTGTCCTCCCACCCCGGGGCCCCCCCAGCCCTGGAGATGTCCTTGTCCCTACGATGGCCCTGCCCAGCACCGCAGCCCCTCCGTCCCCTCCTGGGGGTACCCGTGGGGTGGGACCCCCACACAGCCCCATGCCACCGGGCAGGGGGATGAGACTGTCCCCTGCGTCCCCATCCCCGGGGGGCCGCATGCCCCCGCTGTGCTGACGCTGCGGCTGGGTGCAATGGCGCGTGCATGGGGTGTGCGGACGGGGGTGCCCCAGGGGCCGGACCCACATCCCGTGGGATTTACCAGCTAATCCCCCCGCCCCGGGCTTGGCTGGGCTTCAGTCGTGGCTGGGGGCTCTTCAAAGGCGGCCGTCCCCCGCCCTGGCCGGTGCTGATGGCTTCACCCCCCTTCTCCCACCGCCGGCGAGCATGTGTCTGGGGCTGGGGGAGCGCTGCAGTGGGACCCCCGGGGCTCCTGCACCCCCATATCTGTCCCCGTCCCCCCCAACTCCCTTTGCCCAGGCATCCCTGGAGCCAGGGGAGTAAAATAACCCAGCAGTGCCCCGGGGGGGGGGGGGTTTCACCCATGCCCCCAGGGCTGGAGGAGCCCCAAGGCTGGGTGTTGCCAGCTGGGGTTCAGAATGGGGTCCCCACCGTCCCCCCTGCCTGTCCCTATGGTGCTATGGCCCCTGCCACCCCCTGGGGACTGGGGAGGGCTCAGCCCCACAGTGTCCCTGTCCTGGTGGGGCCACAATTGGGGACCATGCAGGAGCACAGCCCAGGTCCTCCTACCCTTTCCCCCCCCCTCCGCCCGGGGCTGTACTTTTAAGACTTTTTTGTATTTATTTTGCTTTTTATTATTTGTAAATAAAACTTATTGAAACCTCATTGCTAGGAGGGTCTGCTCCTTCCCCAGCCCTATTCGGGGGGGGGGGGGGGGGGGCCTACCCCCCCCCCCCC